TTATGCAGGTTTTCTGTGACTTTGGTGTACTCTCCTTTTCAAGAATGAACTATGTGTTAGTTTCTGTTGTGGTACATAAGAGCCACTAGAAAGCCTCAGATTATATCCTAAAAGAGCCTTCAATATAATATTTCTAAAGGTCAAAGACTAAGGTAATACTTTCAAGTGTCACTTGGTCCTCAAATGAAGTTTTATTGTGATGGATTATGACATAATCCATTGACATGATAAAGTACCTATTATGTTACAGAGACAGTTGGCTGAAATATATTTTTTAATACAATCACAGTTGTGAATCTTTCACATATTATTGGTTTCAGGGAATAGATGAATTCAGCTGTGTTTGTTAGGGCTCAGAAAATCATACCCAAAAGAATGAAGCTTTGAAGTGCTGAGCACTTTGAATTAAAGGAAATTGGACTTTGTTTCTCCTCCTGAACCCTGAGCACAAAAGGGACACCATCTCTGAAATTCCTTTCTCTGACAAAAGAAATTCTTCCAAAAGAATTGTCTTCAACCTCCTCTTTAGAAATCTCATCAAATAACCAGGAAAGATTAACCACCACAAAAGAGAAGAGACTAAAAATTGACACCCCTCCCAGATAGACTTTTCACCTATTCTCTTGAGGGCAGCTCCAAGGGATTACCTTGGACACTTTATCTGCACAATAAGACAACCTTCCTTGGCAGTAAAGTTCCACCTCTCACCTTCCAGTAACTTCTGGCTGCTACCTCCTCTAGAACCCAGAGGAACTTTGTCCCAGGCAATTGTTGAGTTCTTTGAGCATTTACAGGAGATTAGGTCTATTATATATCCTGCAGTAGTTTCTTCCTATACTATTATTATGTATGTCCCCTTCAGTGCTGAAATATAAAACTTAACACACCATGAAGATTTATGGTGTGTGTGTGTGTGTGTGTGTGTGTGTGTTGGGGGTATTTCAATTATAGAATTTCCAAATATTTCTTTAAAGTAATTAACGTAAGTAGCATCTCAGATTTATTTCCAGAACTCGATTTTTTCTTTTCATTGCTTTCCTGACTTTGTTACACCTTTCAGCATTGATGAGTTCTTTGGGCTCATCCATTTCTTCTAAAAATTGTTTGCTTCTCCTTTAAAATTACCTGAGCACCCTCCATTTTCCACTCCCCTGTGAAGAGGTTATTTAAGCTTCAACCATCTGACCTTTCCTTTGAGTTTCATATTTTGTGTGATTCCTGAGCTTATACGTGTTGATAAGTTTATGTATGTTTTTTTTTTTTTTTCTCCTGTTAACCTGTCATTGTCATTTCAGTGTAACTTCAGAGAGCGGAAAGGAAATTTTCTCTTGTCCTTAAGTGTTTCACTGTCAAAATGAAATTTCTGGGAGATTAATTGCATTCTTACAGGAGATTATATGGACATATGGAATAATAATATGATGGACCTGGTAACAATTAGATCTGTGAAATTTACATACTACATGTATATCTAGTTTTAGTACAGAGAGTTTGCGATATATATTATTATATTAAATAAGGTGAAGCTCTATTATGATTTTATTCATTGTGATATATACCAGTCTGTATCTTAGGTTTCAAAACAGAGCAACATACAAGCCTTATATAATACTTCCAAATAGTTCTACAAAAGTCAAAGGTTGCTTCTATCCCATGGGAACAGCAATGTAAAGGGTATACTTTTGCATTGAGATGCCCACTTACTGTATTTTCAGCCTTTTTCCCCTCCTCAGCAAGTCTTTGACTTGGGGAGAAATTAAGCATTTTTTGCAGGGTGCAATGCATTTTGGCCAAATTTCTGCTAGTAATTCCCACTGACATTCAGGCACCCAGAGGTGAGGAGAAAGGCTTCCCAGCAGCAATAGCAGTAGCAGTAAAATCTGGAATAAGGTGATAGAGGATCAAAGCATGAAAAATAACTTGTGGGGGGGATGCACTTTATCCCCCATTTATTTCCATTTGCAAAAACTTCCTTTGAAGCAATCAGTTTTGGTGAAAAGTGAAAACAGCAAGTTGAGGTAAAAGAATTGATAAAAGCACAGTTTATATTTATTCAGAAGATCCACCAGTACTTTATAACAATCTGTGTTTAACATGGCAAATTGTCTGTCATTAAAATGCTAATGAAATGGTAAGCAGCTGCTAAGTTTTTTATGCTAATGAATGGTGGCAGCTAAGTAGTTCTCAAGCCTTATCTTTATTAGCATAGAGATTTGATTGGGTAAGGGGGATCATTGTGCATTCTGACCTTTGTTGTTGGAGCAATCTCTATTCAAGTTCCCTGTTGCATTCTATTTGATTTGAGTTTCTTGGTACAAAGTAACTCAGCAGGCCCTGAGGGCCCTGTACTACACAGTGTTATCAGAGCCACCATTGTGGGTTCAGAGAAAGAACCTAGGTTTCCTCTGGGAGATCTACAATGGCAAAATAATTACAAATTTGTTCATCAGGCAGTTTAAGTAGAATGATTCTGTATACTTATTCTCTGTACTTTAGACTTTTAATAATTATAATAATAATAAATCATAAAAGGCTCTGATCTAATTTAAGAAATATTTCTAGTTTTTAATTTAACTAAGATTTTAAAGCAAAGCTTTTATTAAAACAAGCATTTTAATAATATAAGTGCCTCTGCAACATTTCATATATTGATATAATACATCATCTTGGATCTACATTGATATAATACATCATCTTGGATCTACAATCACTGAAGTTAGCAATGGATATAGCATTACCTAATTAGAAGAGTAATGTGTAATTAAATGCAGGGTGGCTATGTGAATACCATGCTTAGAGTATTTACTTGTTCATCAAAAATATAAACAAACAAAATTACTGTTACACTTATATTTTTGCTGAGTCTCTTTCTGCAGAATCTTTGTCTGTATTTCCTAATGAATGGGGCAGAACTGAAGAACTATCATTACAGATTAATGCTTCAGGTTCCCTTTCTTTTCTTTTATTTTTTCCTCCTTTCTTTTTCTCCCAGTTTTTAGGATCAATGTAAAAGAGGTGTGACAGTCCCTTGAACACAATTGGCAATAAATGTTCTGAAATGATTTGAAATATGATGCAGTTTATTAAGAAAATTCATTACAAAAAAAATCATTGAAATAGGAATTTTAATGACCCTGGGACACTGTAAGAGGTTGGTGGAAATTTTAACAGTTAGAGCATTTTCTCATACTGTTCATTTCTCCTTGAAGTCAGCAGGGGATTTTAGGCATATGATTATTTTGTGATCCTATGTAGTCAGGCCAGGAGAAATTGGAACCCTCCAACCATGCTCCTGGTAATGTAAAAGTGTTCAGCCCCTTTGGAAAATAGTCTGGCAGTTCCTCAAAACGTTGAACTATCTGGTACCATATGACTCAGTGTTTGCCAAAATTCCACTCCTAGGCAGATACCTGAGAGAACTGAAAACATACGTCCACGCAAAAACTTATAAACGAATATCCATAGTAGCATTATTCATAATAGCCAAAAAGGTGGAAACAATCTAAATGCCCATGAACTGATTAATGAACAGCAGCAAAATGTGTGACATTCGTACAACAGAATATTATCCAGCCTTGAAAAGGCATAAAATTCTGATACAGGCTACAGTATGAACATACCTTGAAAAGACTATGTCAAATGAAAGAAGCCACTCACAAAAGACCACATATTGTATGATTTCATCTGAATGAAGTGCCTGGAATTGACATATTTTTAAAGACAGAAAATAGATTAGTAGTTGTCAAGAGCTGGAGATGTTGGGTGGAAATGGGGAGTGACAGCTAATGGGGATAGGGCTTCTTTAAGAGATCATGAAAATGTTCTTTAAGAGATCAAGAAAATAGATTATGTTGTGATGTTAGTACAACTGTGTGAATATGCTAAAAATTACTGAATTGTATATTTTGGGTGGATTGTCTGGTATATGAATTATATTTTTTTGTTTTTTGTTTTTGACAGTACAATGATCTTGACATATCATATCATGAATCAGATGGGGTATAAGTTCTCATTTTTCTGAGTGTACAGGTTGCAGAATCACATTGGTCATACAGTCACGTATATACATACAGCAATAATAATGTCTATTTTATTCTGCTGACCTTCCTTTCCCCCTTTCGCCTCCCCTCCCATCTATGAATTATATTTCAATTAAGTTGTTACATGCCTATCTCCCAGAAAGCCACCTGTACCAGCCATTGCTTATCTATATTACATGAAAGTTGAAGACTAAAGAAGAATGCTTGTTGCTGGAGGGGAGATTTCAAATCTCTTATTCACATGAAGGATTAACAGCTGATATAAGATCAAAAGGGATAATCACTAAAATAATACAAAGCTCATTAGAACTGATAGTTGACAACAAAAATTTGAGTTCCTGCCCTAGTACTCTCTGTCTCCAATACCCTGTCCACAACCAGGCTATAATCAGACCCTTTTACATTCTCTGACTATCCAGTGTCTATACTGCTTCTTTCTCTCAAAGGCCAGCTTTGGGGTTGTTTTTTTAAATAAAACAAATTGAGTCATAACTTTCAAACAGTAACTCTAAGAGTCTTAAGTTTTCTTCTTGCAAAAATCTTTTATTTTTGATTTGGAAAAAAAAATGTCTATTACCCTTTTAATGTAGTAAAGAGCATCTGGCTTCAGGAGGCCCCACCCCTCTCTTTCCTGAATTATTGGCCACTTAGAAGCAATCTGCTTGGGCACCAGGCCATTCTCATTCCCTCTACCTTCCAGTAGAAGCTGTGTACTGTGTCTTGTTGAATCTAAGCTACCTTGGCTCTTGCCATGGGAGAGTGTTCTATATCACTGTCTTAGACAATGAGGAAGAAGATGTCTTTTGACCATATTTACTACTCTTGTGCCACTTGCTTACTTTCAGTGTGACTCTCTTGTTTGCAGGTAGCAGCTCACTGGCCTTGTTTTGGCTATGTAGGATTGGGAGGGAGATGGATGTGAGCAAGAGATTGAATTCATTTTCATTTTGTTCTTGGCAGGCAGTACATGCCATACTACTACCCTTCCTGCTCTTGTGCGCACTCCTACTCTGATGATGCAGCCTTCACTGGATATCAAACCATTTATGTCTTTTCCAGTGGACGGTAGTTCGGCTGTTGGGCTCTTTCCAAATTTTAACACAGTGAGTAAATGCTTTTTTTATTTGATGTGTGACCTCCTCCACCTCTGTCTGTTCCTACATTTGCAAATAGGCAATAGATGTAGTCTGTTTCCATAGTGTGTGATTTTAAACTATGTATTGTTATATTGCTCAGCTGTGCTGTGAAATATGATGCTTCACCCATGGGAGTTAAACCAAACAATAGCCAGCATATTTATTTTTAAAATATTTTCTCGGATGACTTTTCACCTATTGCATTGTGCAATTTTGATAGACTTTTCAGTGGTTTTAGAACCTATATGATTTCTGGAATGTTAATCATACATGCTCAAGAACACAGTTTAGAGATATCAAGCCACATTTATTTATCTCTACTACTAGAAAGGGAAAAAAATGACTGTAGGATTTATCTCCCTGGGTACCTTTTTATTTGGGAGATATTTTAGGTGAAGTGTGACTTTTACACAAACAGAATTTTTATTCTGGGGCTCTTGTGGATTATATGAATATAACTATTAGCAAAAGGAAAAAATACTCATTTGAAATCTACATTTTACTTATCTCCATGATACTTATTCTTTTCAAAACATATGATAAATATTAGTGAATTATCCATAATTATCAGTGTTCTTTACTCAGGTCAGCTGACTTCCTTTATTTGAAAAAAAGACATTCTGTAGGTGTACCAAGAGGAGTGTGACTTTTCTCAACAACTGAGTTCAGCATATAGAATCAGCCTGTAGTCAAGATTCTTAACTTATAGTAGGAGAAAGGGTAAACAGTTCAGGAGATTGCATGAATTGTGTCTGTTCATTTGATAAATGCAGTCAGTTGGGGCATGATGGTCTACGTGAATGAAACAGCATTATAAATGCTGCCATAATCAAAAGAAAGAATTGCATTATCAACACCACCAGACAGCACACATCTGAAGTACTGCCAAATGTTTCCTTTTGCAAACTTATCTTCTGTGTAAAGTGAAAACAGCAAGAGGATTTTTCCTCAAGGGTTCTAAATAAAATCTGCTGACAGGCTTTCTGTCAGGGGCTTAGTGTTGTAAGGTAATTAGGGGGTAAAGGATCAGCCAACATTTTAAAGAGCACTGGTTTTGACTTAGTGAGTAAACAGTTGAATGTTTTTGTCTCCTGGGTTTTTCAGAGACAAGTCAAACAATTTACCAAAAGAAAAAAAAAAACATGGGGGGAGAAAAAAAGCATGAAAAGGTGAGCATCATGTCTAGCCCAGTGGAGCAGTTCAGCAAGATAAACCATGCCTGTCTGGGCTACATTCATCCATTCAGAGTGGAGTGACCCTCCTAAAGACCCACATCAGGCCATTTCAGAGAGCTTGAACTCAAACATGCCTGTTATGTCCTCTATAGACACATCTGTGATACATTCCAAACATAATCAAATCCAGCTATACTTCTTGGAATGTTTATTAGGTACTTGTATTTTGATTCATGTGCATTTAGAAGACAGCATTTGTAGATATTGCACAAGTCCAGGTGCTGTCAAGTGGCAGCAGTGATAATGTAAGAAGGTGTAAATAGTTCCTCCTGTAGTTCATTGTGTACGTCTGTGTGCATGTGTGTATATTACAAGCGTATGCAACTACTTATTTCAAAGATTCAAATAAAACAGCATTCAAGGCAAAACAAAAACGTCATCATCCCCTGCCCCTGTACACACTGTTTCTCACTTCACCAGAAAAAGGTACTGTAAGCAGCTGGTATCCATCTTGAAGGCCCTTTTAAAAGTATATATGTACATACCAGTAGGCACCCACTCACAGTTCTTTTCACAACTGCAGTCATATGATTAGTAGTGATTATTCTGTAAGTGACGTTTTTCAGTTATCAAAATTTCTGACATATGCCTCTCTCTTTTTAAGTAATATAAAATTAAAGTAGAGGGGATATTTTCATTAAAGGTTTTTAATATAAAAATGCAGTTTCCCAAATGGCTAACTAATGTTACAGAAACACTAACATAAGCTTTTTATTTTTCTGTTTGATTGCTGTACATAACAGTCTTACATACTTTGGGTTTGAGAAAACCCATGCAATACCTCTATTAGTAGAAGTTTACTTTTTTCCTTCCTAGAAGAAAATAAACTTTAATTTTCAAATAAGATACTACTAAATTGGTTAAGGTAAAGAAAATTGCAAAGAACTACATGAAATAATCATTTTACTCTACTTATTAGAGTAAAATTTTAGTATTTATTAGGCAGACATTCCTTCTGATAGTTTATTAAAAAACAAGACAGTGCAAGTGAGACCCTGTTTCAACTTGTAAAGAAATGTATTCATTTATTTATTTAGTTATCTTTGATTTTTTTACCTTGAGTTGCAATTGAAATTACTTTAATCTTTTTGCCTAAAAATTTATCCACTATAATACCCAAATTTCCAGGGAAATTTTAGGAAAGTTATTATCAAAGTTTTTCTAAGAAAATATTATTATATCACTACTAGTGATTATATTAAATTATCATATATTTGTAATGATTTATATCCTTCTAAGGACTAAGACCTCAAAGCATTTTAGGAAACTATGGTTATTTCCCCTATTGTCTGGAGGTAAAAAGAGAGTTAGCAAAGGAAAAACAGAGACTTGAATTAAAATGTTCTAACTTTGAAACCCATGTTCTGGCTTTTCACATCCTTGGCTCTTTCGGCCTGTGCCACCTGTCACCTCCTCCTTTGTGAACAAAGCTCAATCAGAAATCTTTTGTTCTCTTTTCTGGAAACATACTAGACGATTTTCTGCAGAATCATTAAATAGAGAAAAGGATTTGGGGGTATAAAAAATATACTTCTATAAACAATATCTGTGAAGCAGAATATTTTTGAAAAAATAAAATTTCCTTTTGGCAAATTTGAAAGTATATTGTGTAAAATAATCTACTTTTCTTGGAAGTGAGGTGAATTCTATTACATCACTTTATTTTTAACCAAGTTATATGTTAGTAAATATAAAAAATAATGTCTATTTTAATCTTATTATTATCTGAAGAATGAAAACACTATGCTCTGATACCACAGCTAAAGGTTTTAAAAAATCTGAAGTCTTGTTACTTTCCTTAAATGGATTCTTAAAAATAATAATGGTTTTTATTATTTTATAATGGTTTCCTCCATTTTATAGTGTAGTAAGGTAACATTACAGGAGAAATAACAAGAATTGAAATAGGATTCTCCTGTATTACAAAATAAAATATGTGCCTGTTCTGTGCTAAGTTTATACAATGAAGAAATATATACACAACAAAGAATGCTTCACAACATTGGTTGAGTAGCTGTCTTATCCTTTACACCACAATTGACAATGTCTCTCTTAGTGCTTCTGTATGAAGAATAAGCAAATATTTCAAGACACTGTCCAAACAGAGTTATGAAGAGACATGATAAGGAAGCTGGAGTTTGACTCATTGATAATTTCAGATGGGCTCTAGGTCAAGATGGGTGACTAGAAGATGTTGATCCTAACTCTGCACTTCCAACAGTTGTACTATAAAGAGATGCTCTTTTGAGTCATTTTTAGGTAAAAGACTCTGCAAACCCACACATAAATTTTTAAAAAATTTTGACCTTTATATCGAAGGCCTAATAGACTCATCTGCCCAATTGCTTACTAGTGCTTAACTTCTACCACTGCCACCCACCCTTTAGCTATTTGTCTTTCGGGGTTCAACTTAGATACCCCTTCCTTCTCAGGAAATCTACTGTGACTCTTTAAGTCTGAGCTAAGTTCCATCCTTTGTGTATCCAAAGTACCTCAGACGAGGTCTATTACAGCAGTTGTCATACCATAGTCCACCTTTCTTCACTAAAATGCCAGAACCTGAGGACTAGAACTATATCTTGTTCATTTTAGGATGTTTATTGTGTATATAGGCGCTAAATAAACTTTTCTGAAGGGAAGACAGGAAAAAAGGACAGGGAATTTTGAGCTGATTTTCAATACTCATACTCCTTCAACCAGCAAAGGGAATAAATACATCACTGAATTTCACAGCCCCTTCTAAGTACAAAGTGATAAGCCCAAGTATTTGCTTTCAATTTTTTTTCCTAAGAATAGGCATCTTTGTAAACTAAAGGCAATAATTCATTACAAATTTTTTTCCAGCTGTAGTTCCCAACTTTCTCTGGGTGGAAAATGTGGAAACTTTGACATATACCTATTATATCCCTTGCCCTGGTCCCTAGTCTTTAGCTGAAAAACCACATTTGTTGGATTTTGTTGAACAAAAGAGTACTGGGTTTGGGGAAGAGGATAAAATACAACAAACAAAACAAAAATACCTTCATGCCTAAGAAACTTGTAGGAAATAAGGTAAATATACTTGAAAAGGAAAGATAATAAAAATCAAGGGCTGGGGCTCAGTGGCAGAACACTTGCCTGGCACATGTGAAGCACTGAATTCAATCCTTAGAACCACATAAAAATAAGCAAATAAAATAAAGGCATTCTGTCCATCTACAACTATGAAAAATCTCTAGGATATATAAAAACTCAAAAAACTTAGAACCAAAAAACAACCCAATCAATAAATGGTCCAAGGACCTGAACAGACACTTCTCAGAAGATGATATACAATCAGTCAATAAATACATGAAAAAAATGTTCAACATCTCTAGTAATTAGAGAAATGCAAATTAAAACTACTCTAAGATTTCATCTCACACCAGTCAGAATGGCAGCTATTAAGAATACAAAGAACAATAAGTGCTGGCGAGGATGTGAGGAAAAAGGGCACTCTCATACATTTCTGGTGGGACTACAAACTGGTTCAACCAATATGGAAAGCAGTATGAAGATTCCTTGGAAAACTTGGAATGGAGTCACCATTTGACCCAGCTATCCCACTTCTCAGTTTATACCCAAGGACTTAAAAACAACATACTGCGGTGATACAGCCATATCAATGTTTGTGGCACCACAATTCACAATGGTTAAATTGTGGAACCTACCTAGATGCCCTTCAACAGATGATTGGATAAAGAAACTGTGGTA